TATGAAGAGGTCAAAGCAGAATTACAGAACTACTTGTTTGTGCATGAACTAAAATAATTTTGGCATCATACTATAAGAATGGTTCCTCACACTGCATCTATAAATGGAATAGGACTGTTGAAGATCCCTTCTACAGTTTGGGAGGACACGTTTCTCAGATGCTCTCAGGTCATTTTGATAAGAGGAAGCTGTATTTCCTTGTTATTGCTACTGCTCTGAACTTACAAGAAACTCTTTTCTTTTTGAGATACTTTATTTACAAATCTGCAGACTTCTACACTAGACTATCTCTACTCTGATAGTTACCCTTCCTCAAGCAGAAAGAAGAATGGATAATTAGGAAGCCAAGAGTTATTTGTAAATAAATCAGGACCATTGACTTCTCTCATGCAGTTTGTCACTCAGTGTGTGCATTTGATCATGCATGTCTCACCATCATGAGATACAGGAATTAAAAGTCATGTGAATATTTGCAATGTACATTTTCTATCAACAGAAATAGGAAAAAAGTCATCAACAGTATGACACAATTCCAGCATTCTGGGTCTTTGCTACTTCTAACAATTCTTCAGCACCTCTCAAATGGGTAGATGACTAGAAAATTTCTGGACTGTTGTATAAAGCAATTGTGTCTATTTCTGAGTTGAAGGATTTATGAACATATTAGAATTTTACTATGAGCAAACTTGACTTTCGAAAGCATATACAAAAAAGCTACTATCTATACATACCTCTATTTATGGTCAACCCTGGATCCCAATATGCCATTATAAGGGTTGGCTGAGTGAATACCTTCACCAAGTTTAGTTTTATTATAATACTTTTAGTTTATATTCTAAGCCACTATGAAAAATAATCATATAAAGTTTCTCACATATTATTAATACTATATTGTTTTCTATTCCATAGTCTTGATCTGAAATATGAGTGAAAAACTTCTCTTTGAATTCAGTGCTATGAAAGCTTTGCTTCCCTTGAAGACTCCTTTGCCCCTTTTGAAAATGGCAGTTATGTAACTGGTTGTGGCATTTGGCTACCAGAAAACTCAATGGTTTAACTTGTTACTCATTGGTATGTTTACTCTTCTTACCTGTATGTTTTCCCTTGTATCCTATTTAAATACTTCCAAATATTTATTTTTTAAATTTACTGTGCCTGTCTTTCAGAGTTGTTCAAATCCCCCATTCAGTGACATGCTGGTATACATATAAATAAGTAACAAAGGTAAAAAAAGAAGGGGGGGAATCTAGTTTGGGGATTAAATAAAATGACTCCATGGAATTTCTATGGAATTACTTCCTCACTATTCAGATCAGTGTACCAAAGTTTCCCCCTTTTGGGGGAATCAAACCTGGAATCCTCCTCCCTCCATTTCTGATTGAATGTGACTGGGAAAATTAGCTGGAAACTCTACCCCAGGGAGATGTCCATGTTAATAAAATTCTAAGGAATTAGCTTACTCATCATTTTCACCCAAATCACAGCATATTACAGTTTTATGTATTAAAGTCTTTCTTTTTCAATAAATTAGAGAAGAAAAAGTTTGAAAGCATGTTGGGGCATTTTGCTTTTTCTCTCTCCCATTAATGCATGAGAAATTTAATCATTAATTTATCTATAAGTGAAATTAGTAGGAAAAGAATCTTAGACTTTTCTTACGACAAAACTTCAAATGTTGGAATGGGTACTATTATTTACGTGGTTCAGGATTTTAACAATAAAAAATTATATTTAGTGAAATGTTTCTCTTCAAACCCTGCCCTCCAGCTGACCTGCTTGCTTCTCAAGATACAACCAATTTTATCAGTTTCTGGTATATTTTTTCAGAGATATTTTATGCTCATACAAACATATGTATATATGTATACATACAAGCGTATATAATTTCCCCATTTTTAATAAAATGTAGCATATTTATTTTGCATTTCAAAAGTTGTGTAATGTGCCCTGGCCAGTCTGGCTCAGCAGTTGAGCGTTGGCCTGTGGACCAGAGAGTCCCGGGTTCGGTTCCTGCTAGGGACATGTACCACAAAAAACAAACAAACAAAACAAAACAAAATAAAACCTACAAAAAAAAAAAAAAGCTGTGTAATTTCATAAAAGTATCAAGAGCTTTCTCATTTTTTAAAAGGTAATTCATAAAACAGAATTTTATGGCTGCTTTGTAATTTACCAGTCCTTTATTAATGAACATTTATACCTTTTGCAATCTTTTCTTATTATAAATCATGCTGAAATGGACAAGCTTATATATACCTGCCATTTCTTTTATGTGTTGTAAGATAAATTCTTATATGTACACTTTCTGGCTCAAAAGATGTGTGCATTTATATTTTTGTTAGGGATTGTGAATTATCCTTGATGGAGGTCATTTTCATTTACATGCACATCTGTTTTGTAACTGCCCGTTTCTCACACTTTTGCTAACACACAGTGGTTATCAAACTTTCTAATTGTTGCCAATCTGATTAAGTGAAAAAATAGTTTTTCAATGTTGCTTTAATTTGCAACTTTCTAATGGAGATAAAAATTAGGCTAACTTTTTCTTAGGACAAAGAGCCACAAAGTTATGGGGAGTTATTATCTGACCCTTAATATTGTTTATGAAGTCTGGAGCAGGTCAGCATTAAAGTTCAGAGATCAAGAACATGGCAATATGCCCAGAACCAAGATGGAACGAAAAGTCAGCAGGCCCCATTTCAAGCATATTTGCCTCAACAGAGTCCCTGATGATCTCCCTAGAAGGTAACTTCTGTTTTTATATGGATGCAATTAGAAGCTAAGTTTCAGATTCTCCGATGGCCACAAAAGTTACTTCTATTTATACATAGTGTTTTTTGTTTTGTTTTTCTTTCTAAAAAATCTATCTTATGGAAAAATGAAGTAAAACAGGTTCTATATTTATAGAAACCGCCACACAATAGAACTGGGTGGGGAAGAGGGTAGACTAAATCATCTGGGTCACCTGAGGGTTTTAAAGATTAAATGGTATGTTTAACATCAGGAGTATTCTGTTTAGGAAGGAGGCATGTTGCTAATTAGCATAATTGCCTGATGACTTACAGAAACAATGTCACTGGTTTGGTTTGTTTTGTTTTTGGTGATTTTGTATAGGGAGAATCATTCAATGGTGTTTAATGCTGTCTGTCTAAAAAATAATCACATGCCTTTTTCTAAAGTCAGACACATGTTAGTTATGTGCCTGTCTTTACAACAGGAACTTCAAAAGCATGTGAGAGTTGTCATCATGTAACAAAATAAAAAGAGAATATTGGGAGTTAGGCCTGTTGGGTTTGCACATGCCCTTTACTAGCTGTGTGACCTGGTCAAATCACTTGACCTTTCTTTTTTGTTAAAAAAAAAAAAGTTTAAGTCATCACCTGAGTATACGTTTTTGGAGAGATAGAGAAAACTGGATGTGAGAAACATCTATAAGTTGCCTGCAATACACACCCCTCCCCGGGGTCAAACCGGCAACCTAGGTATGTGCCCTGACCAGGAATCCAGCTCACAACCTTTTGCTGGACAGGACGACTGACGCTCCAACCAATTGAGCACCTGGCCAGGGCAAGTCACTTCACCTTTCTGAGCTCCCATTTCTTCAGTTGAAAAATGCAGATGATAGTCTGACCATATGGTCCTGGGTCTTGAGGAAATAATGGAACACTGTACGCACGAAAAGGCTTTACAACTGTGAATGGCAATATATCTGTTAGTTGATCTCATATTGATGGCATAGAAACTTTGTCAAATACAGTATTCTCAGATCAAGTCTCAGAAAAGAGTTACTTCTCTTAAAAAACTTAGTACATCCAAACCAGGTAATTAGAAAAAAAAATTGGATTCAGGTTGTCTGACATTTAATTATCAGTAACCTCTCTCTCTCTCGTATGTGGAAGAGCATCTGTGAAAACGCTTTGTATTAAAAATATGCCTGTAGAAGAAGATGTTTTATGGTCCTAACAGACAGCTAGGAATGAGAGTTGTTCTGTTTAGCAAAGAGTAAGGCCGTAGTTTGTGTTTACTGAAAAGTGGGTCGCGCCTCGTTTCCATGGTGTTCTGGTGTCCTTAGCACTTTTTATTCGAAGATCTAACAGCTTTGGGACTCATTTCTTTAACCTTCAGAATGTATTTGCTAGGAAGGCTCTTAGAAGTGAAGATAATGAAGATACAAGTGCAGACCGGGACTCGGACACTCCGAGGAAACAATCCCCGCTGTTTACTTGCAAACCTCTGCCCTGGCCGTTCTGCCACCTTCCCACGCCCTCCCACGCCTGGGTCGGCCCTGGCCACCAGGCCCACCGCTGGCGGGGAGTCGGAGAGCTCGCTCCGGAACACAGGTGCCAGCAGGGCCGTGGGAGGCAGGTGGTCTCCGCAGCCCCGCCTGGGCTCCCGGCCCTGGGCGCGAAGAGTTCCAGTCGCTCGCGGGGACCTGCGCGGTCTCGGGCCAGGCTCGGCCAGGTGCGCAGGCAGCGGCCGCGGGCGCCGCGTCGCACGTGGCAACAGGTGCGGCAGGTCCCGGGCGGAAGCCCCGGCGCGGAGCGTCCGCATTTGGCCGGAGCGCGCGGGCCTCGGGACTGGGAGCCGGGAGCGCGAGAGCAGGGCGCCGGCGGGGAGCGGCGCGAGCCCGGAGCCGGTGCCGAGGTACCGCCTGGCGCGTCTTCCCGGTCCCCGGGGCGCAGCCCCCTCGGCCGCCGCCGGCCTTGGTCCCCAGCCGCAGGCGCAGGCTGGGGCCGTCTGGAGGGGGCGGCAGCAGGCGAGGCGGCCGAGCTCTTCTATTTACAAGTTTCCCGAACTCCGCCCTCGCTCCGCCCCCCGGCGGCCCGAGAGGCGCGGGCGGGGGAGCTGGGGCGCCGGGGACTCCGGGATCCCTCCCCGCAGCCGCCACCGCCGCCGGCGTGCGGGTGGGGGTGGGGCCGCCCGTGTGCCCCAGGTGCAGACGCTGCCCCGCGTGCGCGATTGCACGCGGCCTCGGGTGCGGACCGGAGCGCCTCCGCCGAGCGCACAGGGCGCCGGGGCGCGGAATGCAGCCTCCCCCTCCTGCGGCCGGCTCCCCGGAGGGCTCGCGGTTGCAGCCCAGGCGCTGAGGTAAGTGCGGGGCTGAGTGGATTCCTGCCGCCCAGCCAGGCGGCCGTGGGGCTCGCGGGCGGCTGGAGAGGGGACGCGGTGAACGCCACCGTCCCAGGTTGCGGGACTAGCCTGGGGGAGGGGGCGGGTCGTCGAGGGGCTTGTGTGCCCAAGTTGGGGGAGAAGTGGGGCGGCAGCCCGGGCGCAGCGGACGCCGCAGAGAGCAGGTCTCACGTGGGCACGGCGCAGCTCCTGCGGAAGGGACTGACTGAGGACCTTGTAGCTGTCACCTTGAAAGTGACCGAAGGGGTCCACGGTAGACTCAGTTGCTCAGACTGACAAGCCAGTCCCCTCAGCCGGAAACCGCCCACCAGACACTTGACCCGCCAGGGCCCTGCAGCCCCAGCCGAGGCTCGCTGGGCGGTTTGCTTGGGCCCATTCTCGGCTCAAGTCCTCGGTGCTGGGAGCGGCACGACGCGGGTTGCTGCGGTTCCCCGGGCTCCCGTCCCGCGCCGTCCCGCTCCGTCCCGCTCCTGCGGTTCCTGTGCTCCTCCAGCTCCCCAGAAAAACCACCCTTACGGTCACCTGGCTGGACCACCCTGTAATAATTAGTGGATGCATGTGTTCACTTGCCTCAAAGAAATCTTTTTGTCTTCTTTTCAAGAGGTACCCTTTTATTTGTTGATTTTTGACTCGGATTAATTTATTTTGGGGTAAAAATGGAGAGATGAATTCTTCTTTTAACTTGCATATAGTTTCACATACCCTATTAATGCTGTGTATTTTAAGTAGTTAGTATACTAATAAAGGAAATCCAGTGTGTTTTGTTTTGTTTGAATAAAATCAAAGTCTCAGGCAAAAGGTGGTGCGGGGTGGGGCGGGGGGGGGGGGGGTGAGGGCACCGAGGAGATGAAAGCGGTGATGTTTTGCCAGGTGATGGGGATTCAGAGGTCATCATGCTAAATCCTCAGGCCTGAGGGTGAATGGGAGGTGTTAATCTCCTTCCTGACCACCATTCTTTGGTGGGGTGGGGGAAGAAATGAGAGTTTCTGCTTCCTGAGAACCTAGGACTTCCTTAAGGAGTGTAGATATACCCAGATGAAGAGTGTTTGGTTAACGCTGAAAGGAATTGCATAGTTAGAATTGTAATTCTGTAGACAACCTTCTTTTTCAGGGATAATTAGGACAGGAAATGATGGACAATTTAAATTGAAACAATGATGCCCTGTCTGTATAGTGCTTTACAACGTGCTTTCATAATTTTTTTTCTTTTGTACAGTCTTCCATAATTTATACAAAGAAATGATTAGATGCTAACTTGTCCTTAAACAAAAAACAAAACTGAGGAGTGGAATTTGGTTTAAAATAATGTATAGTTATTTATTTAGCTCACACCGACTTTTTCACCTATTCTTTTGAAAGTCGGCCCTGTGTAGAGCAAATAGTGCTTGTAGAAGATCTGCACCTTTTAATTATATATCAGAAATTGAAGGTTGCAATTTTGGAGTATTTCATAGTATTATAAATTATAGCTACATTTCTTTGGGTGTTTCTTGGGAACAAAGCTGCAGTTATTAAACCTAAGCATTTAAAAAGCATGTTACTTACTAGCTCTGTTCTGTTGGTCTTGTTTGTTATGATTTCAAAAGTAATGCATGCTTGCTGTATAAAAATTAGTAGATTCAGAAAAAGTGTAAGAGTTAAATCTGCCCTGGCCTGTGTAGTTGGTTGGGCATCATCCAGTGCACTGAAGGATTTCTTGTTGATTCCAGGTCAGGGCACATGCCAAGTTGCGAGCTTGATCCCCAGGAGACATCAGATCAATGTTTTGCTCTCACATAGGTGTTTCTCTCTCTCCCCCCCCTCCCTCCCTCCCTCCCTTTCTCTAAATAATAACCATACTAATCCTATCATCACAATTAATATTTTCTTAATACTTGTTAATATATAACAAAAAGATTTTTTTATGATGTAGCTTATACAAGTATACTGTTGCATGCTGGGTTTTTTTTTATTTTTATTTTTATTTTACTGCTTAACACATGAAAAAATTCTCATGTTTTCATAGTTCTTCAAAAATCTTATTTTAGTGCCTGAATAATATTATCTAGAGGTAACAACTTAACCATTTCCTTATAGCTGAACTTTCTTTTTCCTTTATTGATTTTTAGAGAGAGAGGAAGTGAGAGGGAGAGAGAGAGAGAGAGAAACATTGATGAGAGAGAACATTGATTGGCCACCTCCTGCATGCCCCCTACTGGGCATTGAGCCCACAACCTGGTTATATGTCCTGACTGGGAATTCAACCAGTGACCTCTTGGTACATGGTTGACACTCAACCATTGTGAACTTTCAAATTTTTCCTATTATTAATACTAAATATATACTGATGCAACAAATATTCTTTATGAAATGTTATCTACAGAGCATAGTTCCTTAGATGGAGTACTCCAAATACAGTTGATGGTTCAAAGATCTCTTTATACAGATTGATCACTTGCTTTTCAAAAAAAATGTTATACCAAGGTATGCTCCCACTCCTTGAGAGTACCTATGTCACCATATTCTTGTTAATAAGGAGGAGTGTCTTTAAAAGGAAAAATAATTCTTGCTAGCTTTATAGGTGAACAGTGCTATCTCAATATTTAAATTTTCATCTCTTTGATTACAAAGAATGTTGAACACCAAAAATTCTAGTTATTTTTTATTTCTCTTCCTGGGGTATTTGTATTTTTCTATGAATTTATAAGACCCTTTAATGGCTTGATAATACACTTTTGCCTTTCATAGTGCAGATATTTTCCCCGATGTTGTCTTTGCTTTATAAAGACAATTAGCACATATTTGTAGTGGTTTTGATTAACAGAATTTCTATACTTGAATGTAGCCAAATTTGTAGACTTTCTCAAAAACAAAATTTTTAACACTTCTGAATCATAGCTTAAGAGCTGTGTGTGACAGTGGCAGATGACTTTCAAAAGAACCTCCCACCCTCAATTCTGGATTAGATTTTTGTCAAATCTGTTATAAAAACCTGCATATCCTAAGGAGAGACTGTTGCCAACAGCCTGTGTTTGTTGATGAGAAATAATTGTGCATGGTTTACTATTAGGAACAACAACGGGACATTTTACGTTCTAGGAATGAATGTCTTTCAGACCTGTTTTCTGTGATTATGTAAACTTGGCTCACAATCCATTTGTTTTCAGTGGTTCATCTGTAATAGTATTATTTTGCCAGAATTTGTTTGTATTCATTATTGTAGTTTTGAATTGTTGACATGAGTCTTTCTTGATGTCTAGTCAGGTGTATATGTAGTTTATAAACTTTCCCAGATTGATTTCTAACACTACTCATCGATTAAACTACTTATTTGAAGGGGGGGCGGGTCTTGATTCCCCAAACTTGAGTTATCTTTCCATACTGTGGAAGCTCAAGTGTGCCCTGAGGGCTGTGAGTGCTGCACTGAGCATGCTCGCCTTCTGAGCCCAGACCCTGTCATCTTTTAAAGCCTCAAAATAAGCCAGGGGGCCAAATGGGAGCTGGGAGGAGGATGAGGTCTGTGTGTGGTGTGTGTGTTTGAGGACGCTTAGAAATGGGCCCAGACTCTCTGGAGGCAGTGCAGGTGTCCATACCACTTAGCTGGCAGGTGCTAGGACAGTGGTGGCTTGTGGCCTGCAGAGGAGTGACTGTCTGGAGATGAGTGCCCCGTTCTGTTTATTTAATCCTCCCCCGAGGATATTTTTCCATTTATCTTCAGGGAGAGAGAGAGAGGGAGAGAGAGAAACATCGACGTGAGAGGGACACATCTACTGGTTGCCTTCCTCACCACCCCGACCGGGGCCAGGATGAGCCACAACCGAGGTATGTGCCCTTGGAATCCACCCGGGACTCACTGGTCCACCTACCAATGCTCCACTGCTGGGCCAAACCGGCCTGGCCCATTCTTTTTTTTTTTTTAAAGGAAGAGAAGAGAGGGATTAGATAATACAGTATGACCATAGCCAGCCTGAAATTTGGTTCAGAAAAGCCTACTTTGACCAGGTTCTTTATCCTTGGCTGAGGGCATCCAGTATAACCAGGAACCGAGTCTGACTGTCAGCTACTACTTCTAAAAATGTATTTCTACTAAACCAGGTTTTATAAAACACTGCCCTGATGATAGTTATTTTTAAAAATGACCTCAATATTCTTTGAAATCAGCAGTTACTAGTTTTATGTGTGTGGTTATCCATGATACTAATGCATGACTTTTTCTTGTTCACTTGGCTCAAGATGAAAAAGATTTTTCCATTTTGGGGATGACAGATTTGGGCGCTATTCCTTAAAACTTCACTTTTGTACACTGTAACCTAATTTGCTATTTGTGATTGTCCTGATAGCCAACTTTTATACAGTCAAGGAGGAAATGGCAACTAATTTAGAGAGTAAACAAAGTTCAATCTAGAGGTGTTGTACATAAGTAAATAGCTTGAAGCACTTTACAAGTACATATTTGCATATAAACCTTTGATTCCAAAACCTTACTTCTGTTCTTTACAGCTGGTAGATTTTTCTTGCCCTTCAGTTTAAGCCCCGTATTGAAGAGAAATAAAAATGTATTGACTTAAACAGTTTTTAAGTCTTCCTAATAGACCCAGATCTAAATTAACAATGCTCTTGTGTGCCCATTACTTAAAAGAGGAAAACTAAGAAAAACCATACAACTTTTATTCGAACCTAGAGGTTTTATTTCATCTTGAAGTTGTAAAACTAAGAGAGTTTTAAAGTGTCTTCAAGTTTCGCTGAGGACACGTGTCTTTTTAGTAGGGGTGAGTAGATTTCCTCTGAGCAGCAAAAGGAGATGACAGGCAAGTGCCAGGTATATGTTTCTCACAGCAGCTGGAGAGGGGACAGGGGTCACAAGGAAATGACTTCCAGGTAGTGTAGTTTTGTCTGAAACTGCTGATTTCACGCTCAGTGAGAGGCGTGCTGAGCAGCAGGGCAGGTCTGGCCGGTCTCCCGCTGCAGGTCCACAGCAA